GGAATATTTTTTATAGCAAATCATTTTGTAAAGTAAATCATTGAATAAAGAAAATCATATACATGCAGATTTCTATGATTATTTGAAATAATTATTTCTATGAAAATACTGTTTATGGCACAAATTAGAGTACAAAACATAATCTTTTACTGATGAATGAGAAGCAGAAAGTGTGATTACATGACCAAATAATCAATATTTTGGTTTTGATCATGTGATAACAAAGATAAACAATATAGTGTAAACTGTAAACTTACAGGAGCAAGCAATTGTACATATAGGATTAGTTCCCCAAACCTATTGTGCTTGCTCCTTCCCCAAGAAAATGAGAAAACCCTCTTCTTTTTCTCCCTCTAAAAATAAGTTAGGGTTACTTCATAAATAAGTATAATTAGGGCTTTCTCTCAAACAACATCCCAAATCAAAGAGAAAACCCCCTTTCAAACTATCCCAAATCCGCATCCCATCTTCCTTTTTTTCTCTCTAAGAAATCAGGTTTGTGAAGTCGATGACCTCTTCCTTCTTCCTTCTTCTCTCTATAAACCCTAATGGCTATGAGCTCAACCCTATTTTCTCCTCTTCCTTCTTCCTTCTTGTCTCTCTAAACCGGAACCCTAATGGCTATGAGCCCAACCCTATTTTTCTCTCTTCCTTCTTCTCTCTCTAAACTGTAAAAACAGATATGTGAAACCCAAATTTCTACAAGCCTCTTTTCAATTATAAACTCCACAAGTATGCATATAAAACTTTAAGCATACTTATAGAGTGACCATAGTCACCATACTTTAGTTAAAAAAAAAAATCGTGTCTTTTTTTTTGGTACAATGTTTAAGTATTTAATGAATAAATTTATATAGTATATTTATCACCATATCATAGTTAAAGCATTTAATGAATAAATTTATATAGTATATTTGTTTTTGGTACGTAATAAGTAGGTGTGATCTTTCTTAAAGTATTAATGGGTAAATTTATATGGTACATTTTTTTTTGGTATATAATAGTTAATTTTGTATATAATAGTATTAATGGATGATTGGATGAGAGTCACTAGATATCTAAATTAATTGATTTAATTATATTAGTCTGGGAAAGTTTTTATGGATGAATTAGTTATTGATGGCTTTGACATAATTTTTATTTTTTAGAATTTTAAAATTTTTAATATTATAAATTTATTCGATTTTTTCACTTTGATTTTTTGAACCTAATCCGATATATTAGCGATATCTTTATATGAAATATTTTTACCGATTCGTATTTTTTACCCGATTTTTTCATCCTACTTTTTAAAATAAAAACAATTTGTTTCCGATTTTATGGCGAGCCAATTTATTGATAGTCCCCAACTTGCTAACTATAGTAAAGACATTGTGACTTGTTGCTTAAATGGCTGCCCTTTTTACAAGGTTTCTTCTCATGGGGGAGAGAGAGGAGGGCATTCACATTTCCTTTCTTGTACATTGAGTTCTCTGTGGACCAATGGGCTTTCACGGACTCTTCGTAGGCCTATTCTTAAGGGAAAATATCTCTTTACACTTTATTTTTAGGTTTCATTTCTACATGTATACAAGATTCCAAACTTATCGTGTGGCATTGAAATTCAATCAATTCAATCATTTATAGGTTGCTCTTTATACTGTAGAAATAAGGCATGCATATAAAATTTAGGTAGAACTGTTTAGGTATTAAAAACCTTATGATGGCTTGAAAATATCTTTTCATGATCAGTTATAAAGTTTAAAATTTCAAAAATTGTACAAATAGAACAAATTAAGAAACACTTAAGAATCTTGAAAATAGACAGTCCTGATAACTTGTTACAAGATGCAATATTTTTTGGACTTAGAATTCTTTTTTTTCATCATGCCCATTCTTCTCGATGTCAAGATGATCACATGGAGGGTTCTCCAATGCTAGAACACTCTTCTTTGTAGGATTTTTTTATATGCACCTCACTTCAGCAATATAAGGTTGCAACCTTATATAAACGATTTCAATTTTTAAAACTGAAAAATAAAAAAAGTGTATACCTCATAAACTTTTGTGAAATTTTGTAAAATAATAACATCTCATAAAAGTATGAATACTAACGAATCGTAAAATTTTGTATACTTTCTAACCATCTTTATCATCATCATCATCTAAATCTTATCCAAGTTATTTAGTTCATAGTCAGTTTTATGTGAATTAAAATTTTATTGCACATTCATTCTAATGGAGAGCCACTTTGCATCGACTAGGCTCTTCAAGCTCAAGACTTGGATCGTTTTGGCTTCAAGCTCAAGACTTCAAGCTCAAGCTCAAGACTTCAAGTTCAAGCTCAAGACTTCAAGCCCAAGACTAGGCTCTTCAAGCGCAAGCTAAGAGAATTTAATAATATTGTTAACACCAAAAGGATAATCCCCTTGGACCATACAAAAGTATTTGGGCTTTGGCTTGATTGGCTAAAGTAATGATAAATGTACTACATCCTACTTCGAATCCTATAGCTGAACTGCACCTAGAAAGTAAGTAAAGGCTGTAGCTTGTAACGGTGAGAAAGTTTTTTTTTTTTCACGTCACAATTGTTCATAACCATGTGATGTGAAATCTGATAGCTTGCAGGTATTACAATATTCGCAAAATTTTCTTTTAAAGATTAAGTTCGATCAAGAAAATAAATGCAATCATCTAATTTCACGTACAATGGTCAATATCAATTGTGACCATCTTGTACCAAAGATGTATAATCTCATTATATACTTCTCTGTGAAAAAATTGCCGTCAAATCAGCCACAAGACCGGGCCACAAATGAGGCCCAAGCTCGGCCCATCCCTGATCAAAGGAGAATCATGCTAGAAATCCAAAAGATATCATGCTTTGGACATTTGAGAACATATGTTGAAATCACGAATATTTTGATCAATTAATGAGAAAACAATGAAACAATGGTGAAATCATATTAAACCCTCGACCATGATTGTCAAATCATTTGAAGTCTAATAAGAATATTTCACTTACAAGTCACATACCTCCCCTACTACTTTGCTTACAAATACCTAAAATAGCCATGTACAGGATTTAAGATCTTAAACAAGAACGGATATTTTAATAATCTAATCCATAACATGAAAAGAATTACCAAAACACCGCTTGTCATAGATTCCACACATGGAAGGAATTTTTTTCCTGAAACTAATATTTCAAGTTTGGAACTTTGAACAAGCAGGCATAGTTTCATTATTCAGCTTGGACCACTCTAAGCCAAATGAGATGAATACAACCTATTGTTACAAGTTTTAAAGCTGAAATGCGTGTTTTGCTTTTGTGTTTTTAAGTCTCATCCAAAGTTTGGGATCTGAAACATACAAGGGCATTTTGATAATGCAACTGCATGTGTTAATGGCCAAATTAACGCCCTTGTACGATTCTAAATACATAACATGGGCATCTTAGGACTTTCTTTTAGAAAATATCTCCAAGGGGATACCCAAATGTTGTATCTTTTCATAGAGTAAATACTTATTAATCAATTTGTTGATTTAACCACCTCAGTAACATTTTTTTTGGTTAACGATTTAATATCATTTTCTCTTTTTAAAATTAAGTCTCTCTTGCTGATGCACATTTATGATTTTGTAACATTTTTCCTCAGGGGCCATTAACAAAGAGAAACACAAGAGGAAACAACTAAAACACATGGAACATACAGAACAAATAGAGCAAAAAGGGGGGATATTCTTCTCTTCTCTTTTCTGCTTGAAATTAAACCTACATTTGGTCTCTAGAGAAATTCCAATCGCAATTCAATTGCTGCTCCCTTCTGTATTGGCAGCTTGTGCAGTGGTTTCTTCAGTCTGAGGCTCTGATCGTGACCAGCTCTGCTGTGCAACATAAGGCTTAAGCTGCAAAATGGGATCCAACTAAACTCAAGACGCCAGATATAAAGAATACATGCATTCACAACAGCAGTAAAGATCCAATTATCCATCAAGAAATACATACAAAAAGAAGGAAGGTCCGTGTCATCACACTTTACATGGGTCAAATGGAGCAGGCCACAGAGTTGTATATGGGTGCAGTTTATATAATGCATCTACCCTGAAAATCAAAGCAAGACACACTTCCAAATTGTAACAGAAGATGCAGCTCAAGTGTTGGAAACCCAAATGATGGCTTAAATTTATTTCACCCCTAATTATAAAATTTAAAACTCCAAAAATAGTTGAGACCAGACATATCTATAAACAGTTGAAAATCTTGAAAATGGAAGGTCAAGATAATGTGTTGCAAGATGTACTATTTTTAAGACTTAAAAATCTTCTCGTTCATATTCATATGTGTCGATGTCGACATGATCAATTGGAGGATTTCCAGTTCCAGAACAACCTTTTTTAATCGGTTCACGAGGTGCGCATTACACTTCTAGCATAAGGTTGATGCCTTATATAAACTATTTCCTTATA